TCAGCAAAGTTTGAATTTTTATTTGTTTCTTTATTTTTCCCCTTTCAATGGTGGTGCCTTCCACAAAGCTTAAATACAGTCAATGGCCGTCTTTCCGCCATAGAACCACGAAAAGCTCTGCTCTTTACGGAAACCCTAGAGAAATAGATCGAAAACCCATCATGAAAAACTTCTTTTTCCTTCTCTTCACCATCCTGATTTCGTCTTCTTATGGTGAAGACGACGTGCTCTGTCTCAAAGGCTTGAAAAACTCACTCATCGATCCTTCAGGTCGACTCAGCAGCTGGGTTTTCCCCAATTCTTCATCTTCGTCGATTTGCAAACTCACCGGAGTTTCTTGTTGGAACGCCAAGGAGAATCGCATTTTCTCGCTACAGCTTCAGTCGATGCAACTCGCTGGTCAGATTCCTGAATCTCTCAAGCTATGTCGGAGTTTACAATCGCTGGATCTCTCCGACAATGATTTCTCAGGTCCGATTCCTTCCGAAATCTGCTCTTGGCTTCCTTATCTCGTCACTTTAGATCTCTCCGGGAACAAACTCGGTGGCTCGATACCGTCTCAGATCGTGGATTGTAAATTCTTAAACAGCTTAGCTCTTAGTGATAACAAGTTAACCGGTCCGATTCCTTCTCAGTTAAGCCGGTTAGATCGTCTCCGGCGACTTTCTCTATCTAAAAACGATCTCTCCGGTTCGATTCCCTCCGATCTTTCTCATTTCGGAGAAGACGGGTTTCGCGGCAATGGCGGACTTTGCGGGAAGCCGTTGTCGAATTGCGGCTCGTTGAACGGTAAAAACGTAACGATCATTGTAATCGCCGGAGTAATTGGGGCTTTTGGATCTTTGTGTGTTGGATTTGCAATGTTCTGGTGGTTCTTTCTTAGAGACGGTAGTAGGAGGAAAAAGAATGGTTATGGTGCTGGAAAATCTAAGGATGATAGTGATTGGATTGGTTTGTTGAGATCACATAAGCTTGTTCAAGTAACTTTGTTTCAGAAACCAATTGTTAAGATCAAATTGGTTGATCTAATTGTAGCTACGAATAGTTTCGATTCTGAGAATGTCGTTGTTTCGTCAAAAACTGGAGTCTCATACAAAGCTGATTTACCTGATGGGTCTGCACTTGAGGTTAAGAGGCTTAGTATTGCTTGTGAGCTTAGTGAGAAGCAGTTTAGGTCTGAGATGAATAAGTTGGGTCAGATTCGGCATCCGAATTTGGTTCCGCTTCTCGGGTTTTGTGTTGTGGAAGAGGAGAGATTGTTGGTGTATAAGCACATGGCTAATGGGACGTTGTATTCTCAGTTGCAACAATGTCCGGTTGGGTTGGATTGGCCAGCTCGGGTTAGAATCGGTGTTGGAGCGGCTAGAGGACTAGCTTGGTTGCACCATAGATGCCAACCGCCGTATATGCATCAATACATTAGCTCAAACGTGATTCTTCTAGACGAAGATTTCGATCCTCGTGTTATAGATTACGGTTTGGGGAAGCTAGTGAGTGCTCGTAATTCTAACAATAGCTCGTTTAGTAACAGCGATTTAGGGGAGTTGGGTTACATTGCGCCAGAGTATTCGAGCACTATGATTGCTTCTTTGAGTGGAGATGTGTATGGGTTTGGGATTGTGCTTCTTGAGATTGTTACAGGACAAAAGCCGCTTTCGATTAACAATGGTGAAGACGGGTTTAAAGGGAGTTTAGTAGATTGGGTGAGTAAGCATTTGAGTACTGGTAAAAGCAAAGATGCGATTGATAGAAGCATAATCGGTAAAGGATATGACGATGAGATAATGCAGTTTTTAAGAATCGCGTGTAGCTGTGTTGTATCGAGGCCTAAAGAAAGACCATTGATGATTGAAGTTTATGAATCTCTGAAGAATTTGGGAGATCAACATGGTTTATTCTCTGAGTATAGCGACGAATTTCCGCTGATATCTAACAAGCAAGAACTTTGAGTTTTAACTTACTGAGAGTATGAATGATTATGTTGCTCCTTCATAGGTAAATGTAATGGGAAAGTTTTTCTTACTTTCTTACTTCAAATTCTTTACCACTTGTCTTTCGTTTTTCACTTTTAACTGTGCTATTTGGTTTTCTTTTTTCGTGTTGTATAATTGTGTACATTCCTCTGATGCATCAGTGTTCACTTTAGGAGTGTTGTAACATGTAATGAAATGAGAAGAATTGTTTATATCAAATTGTCTTACGTTTTCTTGATGATTCTGGTCCAAAGTTACGGTGATTCTCATAAGTTTTGCTTTAAAATCTATTCCAAAAATGTGTTGATATGAGGATCGCACCGCATCGAATAATGAGTCTATCGAAATGGATTCTTCATCAATCAACAATCTTAGTATAAATTTGAGGTGTTTAAAAAATAAGAGATAGAACAATCAAATAAAAGATATGATTATATCAGTTTTGTTTGCCAAAACATTTTGACTAAGTGGGTCTCGATAGTATTGATTAGAACAATCGGGGCCAAAATCATAAATTCTAAAGTGAAAGGGCGATTTCATAAATAAATAGTACACAGATCGGGGCATTTCTGAAAATATCGTTCCTTTCTTCTGTGAGGTTTATTTTGCTTCGCT